GGGGGGGGGGGGGGAAGAAAGAAAAAAAAGTCTTTAAATATCATAAAAATATGATGCTAAGTCCCAAAAGATTTCATCAGCCTGAGCCCTAACTTAGCGAAGTGTTTTAAAATAAATAAGAAAATAGTAAACTGAAAACCTATCTCACCTAAAATAAGTCAAACAATCCAAAACGAGCTGTAAAATGTTTAATAATCTCAGAAATAATTAAAAAATATTGGTCTTCTCTTCTAATATAATTTTTACATTAAAACACATGAATACAAATATATATATATATATATATATTATATATTAATATATATATATACTATATAATATATATATATATAATATATATATATATATATAATATATATATATATATATATATTATATACATATATTCACATTATTGATCTAACAAATTGCAGAATGAACTACCATTGGTTTCACCTGATTGAGACTTAATTTTTTTAAATTATTTATTTTTTGAAAAATATATTTAAACATGTTAGAGATAAACAAATAATTATTATATTAAACATAAGTGATTTACAAATGTATTCTATTCTAAAATCATAACAATGTGCGGCACAAACCCGAAAGGTTTCATCTGACGCAGACCGACCATATAAAAAACATTTTAAAAAATTGGAACTTCAAAAATTACCAAAAAAAATCTGACCTACTATAAGTCAGAGGAAACTCTAAAAGGTATCAACAGCCAGAAAACTAAATCAAAATTCAAAATAGCCTCCCTAATATATATTTCATTTTACATCAAACCTACTTAAATACACACTTCTAATACTATTGTTAATCTATACTTTCAGATGAATCCTAACCTTTTATCTAGCCTGAGATTTATCGCCATATACTTAGAGACAAAAAGTAACGTATTAAAATACACAAATATTTACAATGACTATATCACTAACATATGTGAACATATTTAAAAAGGACCCTTAGAGGTTTCAGAAGATTGAGAACTATCGTCAAAATTCAATTAATTATTATTTTAAGAACTAGTAAGTAAAAAAACAATATTATTTTCAAATATCCTTACTATCTAAAAGTAAGCCCTGCAAGACTTTAACAGCAAAAAAACCAATCATACAAAGGAGTTTAAAAACAAAATCAATACTAATATACAGCAGTAAGACACTAAAAAACAAAAAATATCTAATCTACAAAATCTCAACTATTCAGATTGAGCCCTAAAAGATTTCAACAGCCAGAGACCTAATTAAAAATTATAAACAAGCCTATCTAATATAACATCTGCGAAACAATAAACCAATTTAAACATATACCATTTTAATGAAAATTATTAATCTATCAGTTTCTGAGGTATTTTAACCTTTTTCCTTCCTTGGATTCTATCGCCATTAACTTCTAATGATTACTATTATTCTATACTTTTCTGAGGTATCTAAACATTCTTCCTAGCCTGAAATCTATCGCAATGTACTTCAAGCCTATTTGTAAGATATGAAAATAAACACATATTATAACACTATCTTATATAAACATGTTTAGACTAAGCCCTTAGAGTCTTCAAGTATCTAAGGCCTGTCGTCCAAATTAAATTAAATAATATTTTACGAATTAACTAAAAACTATCGTCTAAATTAAATTTAAAAATATTTAACGATTAACTAAGCTAATCAAAAAATATACATTTCAAATATCCTTATAATCAAAAAATGACCTCTGACATATCTTAAAAGTCAAAAACCTCTTTACAAAAGAATGAAAAAATAAAATCCATATTAATATACAATACTGAGACCCTGCAAAAAAACTCTTACCAAAAAAAAATATATCATCTATTCAGACTGAGCCCTCCAAGGTTTCACCAGCCAGAAACCTAACGTCTATAAACGTATAAACGAATAGTTTAAACTCATGTAATTAAAATAAAGCTATCTAATTATTTAGGTACTTTCACCTTACAATTCAGAGCTGAGCCATAAAACATTTCACCAGAATGACACGTATCGACTACAAAAATTTGGTTAAACTAACTATTCTTAAACTAAACACACCTACAAAACTTATTCTATTGACTTATCTAATACTACGGCACTGAGACCTGGAAGGTTTACACAGCCAACCATATAATATAGAAAAACGTTTATAGGTTGCAAA